CTACGACTAGTAGTCTCTACGACTAGTGGTCCCTCCGTCTAGTAGTCCCTACGTCTAGTTGTACCTACGCGTATTTTGCGTCCTTATAGTCTAGTTGTATCTATCCTTCAATTCGTTAACCTGTTTAATTGATTACTGCACGAGTACTTTTTAATAATACCCTTAATTAAATCAGGAACTGCAGTGTTCCGAGTCGATTGAGTATGATTGGCAAATATTTTTCACCGCAATACGTTGTTTTAGTAGTTTTACAGACGTTAATTGGAGGCTGAAAGCTACGCATTGCTGTCCAGGGTCGAAATGGCAGCTATAGTTGTGATTAAAATTTCCCAGCCCTAGTACCGAAAATCGCTTATTTAATTAAAACATTTATATATAACATTAAATATACAAGCAGTATATCCCTAATGAATTGCAATAGACCGCTGCCCAGCAATTATGTATTACTATTTTTGCTGATTCCTTTAAATATTTTTTCACATAACCTTAAAGTATTTGCATTGATTAGTGTGCATATCTTATAGTTTACAATGGATTTCCCAGTTATCAAAGTGTACAATGAAGTTGAGGTCCAGCGGTTGAAAACTCGACAAAAACTATGCAATGTACTACACATACTTCTCCATTTAACATACACTGTAAATAATAAATGTGATTGGAATATGTTCCATTTGTTTTGATTTTATTTTCATAATTAGTTGTTATTTCGTCACCAGCATAGCAACCCGTTAAACCCATGTTAGTTTTAAACATTTGTAATTCTTTTTTTATGTCTTTTTAGCCTATTTTAATTTATAAAGGCATTCTGTAGATCGACAGGAAAATACATTTCCGCCGATATGCGGATATTTTCTGTGTGATGTTCACGAGCTGATAAAAAGGTTGTAAAGAAACATGCTTGCCTACATTATTGATATATTTTCTCAGTTTTGTATAGTTTGGTGAAAAACAGCAATCGTACCACGGACCGATTTCATCTTCGTCTCGAACTTAAAAATGATCCCGAGCTGAAAAAAAGCCATTTTCGGCCCCAGGTACGAAATGTACTCTTAAACTATCGTAGGATCGGTGGATACTAAACTCTATCTTGAAATTGCATACACTCGCTCCTATCTTTAAGTTTACGTTGTTGCCATACAATAAATGTATAAATAAACACAAAAATTCACAAGTTTTGTTGTAAGTACCTATATCATGTATAAATAAAAACATACAATAGCATCATGTGTAAGTGTATTCTGTAAAACTTTAAACAAATATTAGTAAAATAGTTTTCAGGTAAACTATTGTTGAATGAATTAGTTTTAAGTTGTTAAATTAACCTCGACCCGTGCTATATTTTTAATGGAGTTTGTCCGAAAAAATACCATGGTAAAATTAAATCAAATAAATAAAATCAAAAGCAATTCATAACAAAAAAATAATAGATACAGAATGAACGTAATTTCTGAAAATCGACAGAGCCTACATATGCGAAGCCTGTGCGTGGGGACCAAGTTGACTAATAATTGGCAATTTGTCATAGTCTTGTAACATAATTAACTACCACTACTATAATTATCAATACATTTTCAAAGGAGAAACAAACGTCCGATTATTTCTAGGCAGCCACAACAGATAACTTTAGAAAACTACGTTATAAGAATTAGAACAACTCAAAAATTAAATTGTTAACATGATTTGTTTAGCCTAACGAAGAAAATCATGAAAACCAAATTTAACTCCCATAAGAAAAACATGGGGAGCAATTTCGTTTACGTATAAGCCGAGTGAGATAATAGAAAAATATACGCCGATGCTTGATGGCAAATCTGTGCGTGCATACCTTTAATTTGAGACCTCAATAATAAAAATGGTCGGGTAGCAGAGCCAAACGAATAACCCATTTTCTTAAATTTATAAGATTATTTAATTATTTATTTATTTTAATTATTTATTTATTTTAATTATTTATATATTTTACTTGACTGTTAATACCAAAGCAAAAGCTTCAACTTCGTATGCTTCCGGATTACGAATAAACCTAAAACAATCTTACACCAATTTACCAATAAGTTTAATAAACCAAAATTGCTCATACTCCGGACAGATTTCTAGAGATGCTATGACAATATGATCAAATCTCTATTTAATATAGTTTAGGTTGTGTATTGATTAGTCAGGACATTGATTGAATAAATAAATATTTAAACAGTATATATATATATATACTAAAACATAAATACAGCACAAAACAAACATATAAAACATAAATGTAAAACATAAAACATAAATGTACAGTACATAAATGGCCTAATTGTTACATTAAATTAACAATGATCATTTGTTAAATTAATCAGTTCAATGTTATTTATATAATTCGACCATAAAGATAGGCGAATGTCTCTCGTGTTTATTAGGACAATAACACAATATACCTTATTGAACACGCCATGAACAGCTATTTCTGAGAAAGGTGAACGAAATACCTGTTGTAAAATGCAACTAAAGACATCTGCTACAACGTATTTGACTTATTGTTTAATATAAGCAAAACCATATAGATTCAGTACTTGGAAAGGCAAAGGAAATATTTTGTAAACAGCGTACAGAATGTCCCGTTAATCCCCACACGTTACTCAGAATGGGCTTCATTTGCAAATTCTTAGAGTTTCCTTTCACAACAATCCATTCCAGTTATTGGGGTGTTGGGTCAGCCCTCTATCGCGTAGTTGCGAGAAAGTGATTGGCCTCCAATCAACCTAAATATTGTTTTGATTTTACGTAGTACTGTGGTAGTTGCTAAAAAAAAACTCTTTCACTCACAGTATTAAACATTTTCAAAAAAATGTTGATTATATCAAACTGTTATGAACAGTGTGATTTTTTTATTAATAACATAAGCTTTTAGTTGAGTATTTTAAACTCCTTGAATGACAAAAGTTTTAATGTAAAACAGATCTATAATCTGATGTACGCTGCCCAACAAAGACGTTATTTATTTATTAGTTTTGAAATAATTCCTGGTAATACACATAGCTTAAAAATTATTCGATTTCGAGAAACAGGTACACTACATTATAGTGCAAACAAAACGTAAATAACACTTAGATTTTCAATCCATTACTGATTTTATACTGATTTTAAGTCTAAATCTACACAGGCAACGTAACTTATGAAATACTCTTAGTTTATGAAGGCTTGGTATAAAAAGTCTTGTAAAGTGCCATTCTTGTGTGTTCTCTGGTTAGGAAACTAGCCTTAATATTTAGTTGTTTATGATATAAGCGGTCAGATTCATACCTACAGTGTATTCAGGTTTTGGACTGGCTAGGCCTATATACAAATATGCATGAGTGTTCGATGTCATCATGAGCGTTGGAATGTTTACCTAAAAAAATGTCGTAGTAGAGGGTGATAGTGTAAATCATAGCTGTTCCCTGGTCTATCGGCCGGTGCCTCGAGGGATAATGACCGACGGACTAGGGATAGAGCTGATGACTCATCCGGTCATGTGAACATCGATATATTAACTAATCCTACTATTTAATAGTAACTAGGTGAAACTTGTCGAAATCGACGGTTACTTTCAAGGACTACGTTAATTCACCTAACTGCGTTAAATTGGATAAAATATAGGCTACATATTTTGAGCATTTAGCATTGTTTAAAGAATAATAAGTGTAAAAACAATATTGATATTAATTGTGTTAGTCGCCAAATTCGGTTGATCATTCAATGAATAAAATATTCCCCTTACCGTACGTCATCGGAGTTATTATTAGTATGTCATCTGGTATCTCTTCCTTTTGAAGAACCTTTAAATAGTATTAAAATCGTATTGGTGGATCTTTTGTAGTTAAACACTTCCGTGATTTCATCAGTGTAATATGATTTTATTTGAAAAGAAAACTTTTTTTGGGAAGACATATTCAAAGGGAGGTATATCCGTTACAGTGTAAGTTTGATTTTTCCTTCGTCACGTCGCGTCAGTTCATATCTTACTTCTGTGCCAACAAATGCACCCTCTAGCTTACTTTTGAGAAATTTATTTTGAGGTTACTGTTGAAGCTGGAATTTCTTGACATGGGGGATGTCAGTTAGTTGTCTCAGTCTTATCAATAACATAAAGTTGTCAATATAATCTCTCTACGGAATGTTAGGTGTAGTGTAATACTTGAAGTGAAGTTGGATTTTATTCTTGAACTGTTAGGGGCCTCTTATTTCATACGGCCTTTTGACTTTATTGGCAGCAAATAATGCAAATGACATAGCAATGGGACATTTCCAAAAACAAAAAATACTGTAAATTGGCTGTTACGTATACATTGACGTTTAAATATTGTTAATCAACGTATTTTATAAAGGATTATGTGATCTAGTTTAAATGGAATATGACCTTTCTGTCATGACAGTAGCTGCATAAATAGTATTTTCTCTCTGTACCATATCTTACAGCCAACATGTCGTGTTATTTTCAATAATGTTACCAGTGCACCAAAGTTCGTAATATAGGCAGGTGCAAATAATTTGTCAAGATATGTACCATTTTAGGCAATGTTTCTATGTTTGGATTTTATTGGACATGATAAGAGCAGATATTTGTACATAAATATTTGATATGTGTAGAATAATATGATAAAATGTAGGCAAAAGTGGTGAAAAAGGCAGACACCATCCAGTACAATAGATATAAGATAGTTCAATAAGAAATAATTTATGAATTGCTGTGATAAAAGGATTTTGCACTGATTTCGTAATGGAATGTTACATTGCAAAACATGGCTGAAAAATAAGAAAAACAATTTTAAAATAAAAAAATAACATTAACTCCGTTGTTTGAAATACAATTTAAAAATAAACAGCTGTTTCATTAAAAAGTATGATTCACATGGCCAAAATGTAAACAACTCTGTGGAGGGATCTTTAAAGGCTTCTAGGGCAGAGTCCTAAGGGATTTTGCTTAGTTTTTCTTTTGATAACTCATCTACAGACCAATACATACCTTTCTTTGGACACCTCTACCAAGTGGTGTCGCGAAGTTTGCGTACAGCGAAATTTGCGTACAGCTGGAATTTAGCGAAGACTGCGTACGACCCGCCAGGTTGATGTTTGACGAGGGTGAGACAAGGCCTGACCTTTGTGTCAGTGGAATTTGACAAGCGAAGTTTGCGTACACCAACAAGAACCACGGCTAGGTGTTGACTATTTGACTAACATTTGACTAAAGCAACCAATCAGTTCTCACTGATTAAATAAAACTTACTAACTATATTAAGTAGTAATAAAAATATACCGCTTTTAAATTACTATCTAGATAAATAAATGTATATGTAACTTGGTCTTATGTGATTGTTGGATGTAACAGCCGCTCATACACTAGACAGAATTGTCACGTATGGAAATGTATAAGCGGTCTTTCGGCCTTGACGGTTTTATTCATATTTACAGTTCTGATTATGTAAATACTTAGCGGCTACTATTACAATTAACGTTATTAGTAATCTACAATAGTACAGTTTCTAAATTAAAACTATTTACATTAGTCAGTTCTTTTGGTCTTAACAAACTTAGTTAAATATAGTTACTACCCAAGTTTGTGGAGGTATAATATCGCTTTAAACACGGAGCTATGTCTCTATTGTAATGATACCGGTATTGTTTGCGTATTCTTTCGATCCTTTGGTCCAGCATAAGATAGCGACCAGAAATTATAACGTAGCCAAAATAAAGTGTCTCCTAAAACTAATAATGTTTAATGGTAGCTCAACGTTATTATCTGAAGCAACATTGATTGAAACCCAGATTTGTGTATGTTAAAAATAGTATTTATATGTTACTATAACTTTTACAGTTAAAGATATTTAACAAGGGATTGCGACGTTGTATTCCGCGTTGGCTGGTTACTACATTTAGCTATGTAAAACAGGTTAGTTAAACCTTCAAACCTAACAGAATTGAGCGATAAATAATTAATTGTAATTAAGAAACTGTAAATATTGTACATTACTAATAACGTTGATGTAAATAGTGGCCGCTAAGAATGTACATGGTAAGAACAGCATATAGGAATACAACTGAAAAGACCAAAAGGCCGCTTCATACATTTCCAGACTTGAATTTGGCTTAAGTAAAATTTGTCTAGTAATGTATGAGCGACTGTTACATCTACACTCTATCTATTCTATCTGTATATTATTTACGTGAGCCGATTCTTTGCGTCAAAATTGTGGTGATGAGAGACTGGGAAATCGTAGAACGACGGGAGAGGGCTCAAATTAAAGGTCTTGACCCCGTGACGGCGGGAAAAATAGTGAAATTTTAACACAAAATTAGATATAACGTAAAATATTCTCCATAAGAATAGCATTGGAAGTCATTTGCTGCTGATTTTTGTTTACTTCAATACAGCTGATTGTGATTTATCATCAAGCCAGTAAGCAATATGTTACTTCATTTTTGTTGTTTTTTCCTCCCACAATATCTAAATTATTACTAGAGGTTAAAATACCTTATAATACGTCAGTGTGACTTTTTGATCACACTGACGGATTATAAGGTATTTTAACCTCTAGTAATAATTAAATATATTACCTTTGGACTACTTATTTGCCAGCCAATTCTGCAATGTAGCCTACTGTACACAATATAAAACCACGAATAACCTTACTTATAATAATTCAGACTTTTTAGTTAGTCTTACAATGTTGAAATCATTATTTAACTGTGCAATTTACAAACTTGTGTATTTTTTTGTAAATTAGTTAAACACGTGATAAGTAGTAGAATCATCGGAGATGGCTCAAATCAAAGGAATTTAACTTAGAATAGCTGAAAAAATAATGAAGTTTTTTCTTATAACTTGAAGGTTATTTTTGTGTTGAAGGAATGTTTAACATGAAATAACCACATTGACTAAAAAATAAACGATTCAGGATTTAATGGAAAACTTTTGCTTTGTTTTAATTTCAAAACATATGTTCAAGATTTATTCAATTTTTTATATTTTATTTTACCAATTTTAATTTTAGATTAATTTATTGTGGTGTTTAATCAATTATTGTATAAAGGGATAAACCTCAACGGCCACTCTTGGAAATCAACCTGGGAATAAAGATGAAATAGGTTCGTTCAGGACAGGCAATGTATTTGTTCATTAATCATCAAGTAAGTACTATGACAAGTTCCAATGGGCGGAAACACATAATTTTTTAGAGGAGATTTTAACCAGGTACTGCAAAAAAGGTTCAAATAATATAGCCCAGCATGTACGGTGGTAAAGGAAGCATCCATATATAACAGTAAAACCTAGAGGTAGTTTCCGTTTCTTAAAACCAACCAAAAATATGCATGTCGAAGATTCTGATGAAAAGTAATTAATTGTTTTTTAACTGGGTAATGGAAACCTAACCAGTCGCAAAATAGTTAGGAATCAGCCGTTGAATAGACCCCTTTTTGATAGAATATTTAAAATCAATCGCACCTTTAGGAGGAATACCACCACATAATCTTACACTAGGCTAATAGTAGTTTTTATGTTGATCAGAAACAAATCTAGCGATACGTTTGGTCAATGGGATGCTTTTACTTTACACTAATTTTGTTAAACCTTTCCAAAAGGAGCATAAACATAGAAATAATAACTTCGTAGGGATGCTAATTTAGCGGTTTTGACCAAGAACTAAGCTTATCTCAACACACCTTTATTTGCCTTTTCATTTTTGACGAAGACGATTTCCAATCTTTCAATCAGGGAAGCCTTTTTATCATCATTATCATCAAACACAAGACCAAAGCTACCTTAGTAAACCAATATTTATTCACAAACATGTTTGCTGCCTTTAGTAGTTGAGTTAAACCTCTGGAGTAATATAAATTATTTATTAAAAATAACGTCAACAAAAGCAAAGAAAGACTAATAACAAACTGTTTTTGTACAAAATATACAGTATATTGTACTGGGATTTCTAACCTGACATAGATAATTTGATTCTGAGTTTGTTTAAATATTATAATAATTTGTTTTGTATTTGAGCTTTTTAGGGACTTTTAGGGACTGGTTCGGTTATGCGCAATATTATATGCCTATTTAGTTTTCAAACCAGCTTTGTTGAATTGTGAATCTGTATACTATATACTAATGTGTATTTGGAATACGCTATATTTATTTTTTTAATCTAATTTATTTTTATAAGATATACCTTTACATTACTTTTCCTTATTATGTGACTTATTTTTATATGTGTTGTCAATGTTTAGACCTAGAATTCATTGTGATGTTTGATCTCGGCTTGGCTTAGGAGTATGCACAATGTTTTAATATTTCAACACCAGTTACTAATTATAACCAGGCCCTTAGTAATATTATTTAAATGAAACACTTTGTTTGTTAAGGATATGTAATTTGGCTCCAGTTTTACAATTGTCTTAGTTTACTGAAAGGTAGATGGAAAAGAAACATATGCCATACACTGCATTCCCGGCGCCGGGGACGTTTCGTGGAAATACATCTCACCCCCATCCCTCCCGTAGGTATAAGTAAATGCCAGATATGCAAGATGTCAGTTCGTCTTGAGCAGTGGTCATAGAAGTTGGTGAATTATCGTGCTGAGCTATGTCTGCTGTGTCTTTTAAATCGAAATTTGGTGGGGTTTGGTGGTCAGATGATAAAAGTTTTGTGTATAAACCTAAGAAATAGAGTTTAAGTGGAAAAAACAATGATAGCAGATCTTGACAAGAAATAAGGAAAACCAAAGTGTAATATGGAAAAGGACTGACCAAGGGACACAAGTACGTTTTTGTCAAGAACAGGGGTTTCTCAATGAGCTGCAGACAAGCCAAATTTTCCTGGCTTTTGTAGCAAGTTGTTTATAATAAATTGTTGTAAGATTGTATGATTTTTAAAGAAATAAAATTAATCTCTTAAACCGGTGACAAGTTGAAGGGGAGATAGTAGTGGATACATAGGGCTGCTGAGGAGTGACGTCACAAGAGCCATGTGGTGCTTAATTGACGGTTAAGCATCTGGTGGTAATGGTGCGTGACCTAGCACGTGGTGTGGTGGGTTACGGTATGGTGACGTCATGATGACGACATGCTGAGGTGTGAAAGTTAGGTGGATCGATATTTTCAAGGTTATTGTTGTGGTTTAAAAAAAACAGCATATCGGTAAAGGGATAAGTACCGATATGCTGATTTTTAAATTCTTTATTGAAAAATCAAAATTGACATACGAGGAATATAATTGTTTTCAAACTTAAACCTAATACAGATCTAAGCTAAACTAAACATTTGGATCATAGAGTTAGGTCTACTACAGTAACAACAGTTGTCAAATTGTCATCCACACATGTCGCAAGCGAAACAGTGTTTGCATTGGTAAGAAGAGTAAATTACGATTTTTTTTGTCCATGCATATTATACACTCAAAGTTTGCTTCTTTTATTGGAAACATAGTAGGAATTTTGTTAAATTTGAGAAATTAGCTATATATACGACATAAAACTGTGCGAGATAACTATTTGTACATGTTACCTTTGCAATGTTTGCGATATAATTTGTTGTTAATGAGATGTTGTCTTTAGCTAGTTCCACTACAGACTGATGAGAGACCGATCTTACACATTCTTTTTATGCTGTTTATGATTGCTATCTGGCATACAGCAAACAGTCGCAATTAAAATATTTCCACTTTTGTCTTTGCATTTTATAAGATCGTTAAGTGAAAAGTTTGTTATTATGTACATATTACGAAAAGTGTTTGGATTTTGGTTTGCAATGTTTCGTACAGAAAACTGATTAAAAACCATTATTTTATTATGTCGCCATTATAAACATAAATTCAGATCTAAACTAAAATATCACTTTAATCCAGCAAGGTGTATCAGCTATTTAACTGGTATGGAAAAGTAATGTACACAGTGTTTCTACTTCTTCGTGAACAGTTGGCGGTACATGCGGGCAGATCATTGTTCCACTAATTACAACCATGTGCCACATTTGCAACATAGGCCTAGTACCTTATATTTCTAAGACTGGTTTATTCATTCAAATCGTTATGCTTTTGAATGATTTTTAAAATAACAAACATTTGGTATATTGCACATTGATTAATATTAGACGTACAAACGATCAAGCTATATAAAAACAAATTTCCCGCTCTTTACCCTATAATTTACTATTTATTTAAAGCAAATGTTAACTCTCATTAAATACTCTTGGTTGTATTGTAATCCAAAGTATTTCTGTTTATCGTTTGTCCTTTTGTAAAACTGTTTGAATGTTTTTTTATTGCTAGTTGTAGTACAGAAAACTATTCAATTTAACTAATTTCACCGTTAGGTACGGTTTCTTTCACCGTCATCTAGTCTTTCTAATATATCTATCACTTCATTGCTAAACATGGATCTTTTTACACTGTATGATATTATATAAGCATCGGTTCATGACCTAGCACGTGACCTAGGACATGGTGTAGTGGGTTACGTCATGGTGACGTGTCAGAGCTAGGATAGATCGATATTTTCAAGGTCGTTGTTTGGGTTTAAAAAAAAATCAGCATATCGGTAGTGGGATGAATACCGATATGCTGGTTTTTTTAAATTCTTTATTGAAAATTTAAAATACACACAATATAAGGAATATAGTTGTTTTGAAAACTTAAACCTAATACAGATCTAAACTAAAAACACTTGGATCATAGAAATTATAGGAGCTCTACAGTAACAACAGTTATCGAATCGCCATCCGCATATGTCACAAGCGAAACAGTGTTTGCATGGCAAGAAGAGTAAATTACGATTTTTGTTCATGCATATTATACACTCGATGTTTGATTCTTCTATCGGTGGGGGTACAGCAATGTTGTTTGTTGGAATCCTTTTCTTTTGTAGGGCGTTTCTTTCGGTTCTGGATCTCATTTCGTTGACGAAATCTTGTCCTTTGTGTACCAATACGAACGGACACTTGGGAAACCATTTCGCGTGTTCTTCCCAAGGATCATCGATATCTTGCCAATGGTGTAGTCCACCACCGCAGTAAAAACAAATCGTTTGGTCCTTTTTTCCTGCGTAGAAGAATCCTGCTTCAGCGAGTTCGATTCTGCATTCGCTAACAAAACTTCTCGTTCGGGCGTGTATGTACGAGTTGATCCTATCATTTTCTTTTGAATATTCAGGATGTTTTATACACCACGACATGTTACTTCGAGCTCCAATGAGAGTAAAGTGGATAGTAGTAGGTCTCGCATCGTCCTTTTATGCGGTAGGTACCTTATTTTCGTGGAATGAAAACCCGCTTCTGATTGGTTGATTACAGCAGACGTTGCAATGTTCAAGGTCATCCAAAGTAAATTTAAAAAAAAACAACATATCGGTATTGAAACAAAATACCGATACGATCTAGCTTTTCTTTTTCCCATATTTATTTCTAACATTTAGATAAACATATTTACAATAAACATTAATTTGACTACGCTAAATTATTACATTTGCAAAAACTAAACCTAAGATACAAATCAAATAAAGGTGAGGTGTAATGAAGAGGGTTCCCGATGATGGTGGTGTAAAATTCTCCTGTTTTGACTTGTGGTCAGGTCGGAAATTTATGGAGTTATTTCGTACTGAAGGAGTAGATTGATTGTGTTTAGTCTCGTTGCAAAGATTTGGTGTAATGGTGTAGACTTCTGATTGTAGCGGTGGGGTAGAGCACTCCTCGTCGTAGTCAGACCCGTTGTAATCACTAAAGTTCATAAATGGTAAATATTGTCCATGCTCCTTTAAGAATATCCCCCTCGTTTGTTGATGTTCAAATATTAGATTCCAATCCAAATGATCTTTGTAGTTTTCGATAAAACTTTCAGAAAGGTTTTGATATTTACAAATTTCCTTCCAACAGCAGTTGTTGAAAGTAGGAATCATCTCTACGAGTATTTCTTCTGAGAATCTTTGTCTTTTTAAAACGTGAAACCAATTCACCCTGTGAAAGTACATCCTCAACATTTCTATAGTGAAAATGTAGTGCAAAGAAAGAAGTTCCCAGTCCATAAACGTGTCGAAACGTTGCACAAAATTATCGGATAACACTCCGTGAGGAAATCGAGGTTCTTGCGAGATTAAACTCCAAGCACTCACGTTGGTACCCATCGTGTTATCGTGAACCTTAGAGTGTGCAAACTGAACACTGGAAAACTGTGGCAACCCTTTTATGTGATTGTAACAAACTTAGGTGTGGTGATGTTTGCAGAATTAAATTTGATAACTTAAACCTAGAGATATTTTTTTTGTTATTCAGATGATCTGGTTTCATATGGTTTGAGAACCAAAGCTAGCTCATTAAGTAAGCGTGTGATGTTACTTCTGTTTAAGCCAATGCTACAACAAACACAAGTATCGGGACCACAAGTTGCATCATCCTTTGACCATGGACATTCATTGTAATGTTCACCATATTTGGACTTTGTTTTTTCTGACAAACCATGCCTATCTATTTTTCTCTGGATTTCAATAATGTTTTTGATTATTCTTTCGAACTTCAGTACAGCTTCTAAATTCCAACTCACCAACCCTAGTGCGGGATGTGTTAAAACTCGATACAATTCGTTGTTCATGATGGGTTTCCTTTAGCTGGTTCTACTTCAGACTGATGAGCGACCGATGTTACACCCCCCTTTTATGTTGTAAAGTTCAAGGTCATCCAAATTTGTTAAAAAAAAAAAACAGCATATCGGTATCAAAACAAATACCGATATGCTGTTTTTTTACTCTTTATTTATTTATTAAATCTTTTACAAAAGTACATTCTACAAACAGAACTTAAATCTAAGGACGTTGTGACATGTGAAGAGATAATTCTGTAGAGTTGTTTCCGCTTGATCCACGAGACACCAGGTACAGGGATCCGGGTTCGATGCTTCTCAGATCTTCATTTTGTAGAAGATGTACAAATCGTTTAGGGAGAAATACTTGAAACTTCGGTTCATCCCCCGAAGTAAATGGTGCATCACTTAAAGAAACCACGATGGCATCCCCGATGGAAGTGTCAATCTTCTTGATATTGTGAATTGTATAATGTTTGTTTTCTTTTAGTTCTGAACACTTTTTAGTAAGTAAACAGTTTGATTTGGACTGTGCGTTGAATTGATCAACAAACGTTTGTAGGAAATGTGAACTCATGATTTATTTAGTTCGTCGTTGTTGCTAGCTTGGAGTCTAGAGTAATACTCATGCATTGTCAAGGTTTGCTCTTCGTATTTATACCCATCGCTACCCCCACCACTCCTCATAGGCTCCAAAAAAGCTGCTAATCGGTACACATTTTTCAATGCGCACTGTGATTGTGTATGTTGTTTGTTTTTTACTAGTCGACATATATTTTCCAACTTAGGAGATTCGAAATTTTTATCCAATATCACGTCGTAAACTTGCCGAGTCGTATATGCTTGTATCCAATTACGTTTTTCTAATCCTCTTGTGTATACAGTTGTAAACTCATTACAAAAATGATACATAATATTTTCGAGACTCTTGTAGTTTGTAAACCCTTCACACCAATCGATACTATGGAAGTATCTCGTAGTCCATTTATTGGTTCTTTTCGTTTTGCTGTTGAGATTATTAAATGCGAATGGAGGTTCAAATAGAAATGGAAAGACAATCCCTGTATTTAAATCTAGGAATACTAGTTCCTTTATGATATATTCATTTTTGTTTCCTCGAAAAGCTTGAAATTCTACTACACAAGGTTTTTCTTGAATCTCTTCAACTCCGTCAGCGAAGGAAATCTTCCTCTCCATATCGTTTTAAGATAACAACTGGTTTCCACACCACGGTAGATCCCTTTTTTATAGATCAGGCCGTACAGTTGTCAGCGCGTTGGTGTATATTTAACGTGGGCACCTTCCCCCCCCCCCCACCCCCCCCCCCCCAGTAGGCCTACCCCACGTGATGTTAACATATTTGCTGTCCTGTTTACATCTGCTACAGCTTATCTGTTGTTTCCTTTTTTTATTTCTTCTATTTTTCTCCGTCTTGCAAATTCATTACACCTTTAACATCACTCGTCTGTTCTGCTACTGTTGAAATTGTTTCGTGGTTTTCCTCCGTCACTTGTTCCTCCGTTACACTCACAGAACTAGATCCTTCTATCTTTTCTTCGTCGATGTTTTCCCTCTGTTCCAACGCGTTAACTTGTCTCCACATTTCCACCTCTTCAGGTATCCGGTTGAAAATCGATGTATCCACAGGTCCATGCAATATCTGAACGTCTGGTTGTTTTTCCATCGTTTCCACTAAGTAATCTTTCACGACAGGGGAAGAAAAAACTAGCTGTCTCATGTATCTTGTTATCGATGATGTAGCACAACTCAATAAATAAAATTCAGAATTGGTAAGTAAAATTCTTTCATCGTGTTTGGTTAGCTCCCTAAATCTAACTTGCTGCTCCCCTCGCTGTTTAACAACATCTATCTCGATGTCGCAGTCTGAGAGCCTGATTGCAGTTTTTCTTCCAAACAGATTGTTCTCCAAATAACATTCTATCAAATGCAAATGTTTAATAAACGATTCCCAAGCATTTTCCGAAAACAACAAAGTTTTAGCACCATGGGTCAATAGCACTGTTGGAGAATAATCCAACGGTTTGTACATACCGATAGATATAATTTTTGTCATACATCTTGAAACTGGATATGATATACGAAGAAATACTTCTATCAACTTGTGTAGTGGCATTTCCTCTTCTTGTTTCCTTTTCCTTTTTCCGATTACCTTCGTTACGTTGTTGGTGTTTACATCATTTTCTGTACGTGATTCTTCTTCGTTAAAATATAAAAATTCAGATACCGCTTCTTTACATTGGTTTTTGTTTTCTTTATCTTTTAATAACATCGTTGTTGTTGTATCCGTTGCACACTGCGATGATCCCATCTTTGAAAGCGATGTTTTCCGTACTGAGAGTATGGATAAACTGAAGCTTTCCGTTTACTCCGAGTTTTATTTATACCCTCCCACAACGAGTGTTTCTATATACAACACTACTTTTACAATTCCTTTTAGAGGGGTGTATGTTAAAATCTTATCATGCAAAATCAAACAATAAGCGGATGTTCCTTCAGGTTTATTTTCATCCAACTCCAATTACAACTTTATATCCACGCTTGAAGATTTTACAGATTCATTTTGTTTGGAACAATCTATAACCACGACTGGAGCTTTTGAGACACCTAATTTGTTAGAGATCTTCTTCACTATCCACCACTACGGTCTTAAATGTTGATAGATTTTTTCTTTGTTCACCATCATACAAAGGTGTGATATAGCGTTTTTCCTCATTCCAAACAAACTTTGATCCCATGTGTGTTATAAGCTTTCCACCAACGCGATATACGTGTGTGCGAAACTTGTAATCTCCACCACGATATGTTGCAAATCCACTCATACTTGTAGCTTTTGCTATTATTACAGGTTTTGAAGGACTATTTACAACCAAATCAAATTCAACATCACCACATTTAAATATATCCTTTTCAAAATCATATGTCAATGTTTGACTGATAGTGCTTACATCATCTTTGTTAATACCTTTGGCCACATGAGTAATTCTTTTATTTTTACCATCGTAGCAACATCCTTCTGGAGGAAAAACAGCTTCCTTGACTTCTTTTACTGTTAACTTAAGGTCATTATTGGAGGATTTCAAGTTTTCAGTTAATGTTGAAAAGCCATTACTCATTTCCTGCAGTTTTTCCAACTTTTTATTTAGGTCGCTAAGTCTTTCTTCCAATTCTTTCAATTCCAGTTTATTAATATAGTAACGGGTTAAATAACCTCTTGTTACTGCTTGACGTGCGGTTTCAGGATCCGACGAAACCCTAAACCGTTTAGTATCTTCATCGTCATAATCTTCGTATTCATCTTCCAAATCTTTTCTTTCTCGTTTTTGGGTGTACAGAGAGTGACCAAACTTATCAATAATGTGATGTTTTATCATTGGAGATGTTTACTGTAGAGTATATGTAAACCAAATAAGTATAATCCGAGAACCTAGCAATACTTATACTCCAATAAAAATATTGGACGGATAAGAATGATTTTTCTACTTAAGCTATTTTTAATAAGTGTTTACTTGATCTTGTTCAAATGAAGACAAACTGTTATTCTCTCGTTTCTAAAATCAACCAGTCTGTTATCTTGATCCATAA